TCCTGTCAAAGTGTAAACTTTCGCGACATACTCGTTCGCGAGAAGCGCTGCCACGATGTGCGAGCCGAGGTTGCCGGTCGAGCCCGTCACGAGGACCGCAACGGTGCCCGGTGCGTACTCGGCTCGTCCGTGCGGTCTCGGGAGGTCTGCAGAATACTTGTCGATGAGCTCGACGATGTGCTCCGCGCGGTCCTTCTCTACGACGCCGACGGAAGACGGGTCGACGAGCTGTGCAATCATCTGGGCCATCAGCACGATTCGCGGGAAGTCAAAGATGAAGTTCTGGGAAATCGTCGCAGCGGCTTGCTGCGCGGCCTTGTTCTGCGATGCACGCAGGCCGCCAACGACACGATTTCGCAGCAAGGTGGCATTCAAGCTGGATACAGACGGAGATGTGAGCCAATATCCGGCGGGATACCGAGATCTGCCTAACCTGTCGAAGCCATGCGAGAATATGTCCGCATCGGCCGGTGGGGTGACCCCTTCGTTCAGAGACGCGGCATGTTCCAGCAGCCAGTCTTGGATGTCTTCTGGGCGCCATGAATACGGCGGATTGATGCCCATGGAGTTGGTGCTGTCCTCGACAGTTTCGTAACTGTAACGACAAACATCACGACCTAAACCACTGAGATCCAGAATGAATCACTAACAGCTTCTCGATCTCGGGCGCATAAAGGTCGAGCGTGATCTTGCGCTGGACGGTGCCCTTGCCCGAGCGCGGCAGCGGCTTGTTGGGACTTGCGACCAGGATGGTCTCCTTGAAGACTCTGGTGAACGCAGGCCCAAGATGATTGGCCTCCTCGACCACGGGCCTATGGAATATGGCCTAACTGATCACTTGCGTATAGTGTCTTGAGCTGCTCCGACGCACCAAACTTTGTTCCGGTACTCTGCCACCTGCGCGTCGTCGTTCGGGTCGATCTCGTGATCGGGCATAGGTTCGAGCAGGAGCCCGGGCTGCATCTTCGTGCGCCCAAACATGACCGCGCCCTTCACGAGCGGACTCGCAGCTATATGGTGCTCCTGTGGGATGGGGACGATCTTCTCGCCCGAGCTCAGGACGATAACGTCGTCTGTACGCCCAACGCTGCGCGGATCAGACAATGTGCGCCCATAGCAAGGACATGCAACTCACATGCGCCAGTATCCTGCTTTCTTCGGGTGCGGCTCCCACAAGTCCGAGGTGTTGTTGCCCTTCGTGTCAGGAAGGTTTTCCACCATGGGCTGATGGTGCTCGTGCGTCTGGCCGGCTCATTAGCGACCGAACCTTTCGTGACGCAGGAACACGGCACTCACGAGCATATGCAGCTCATACCTGCCGTCGTCCTGAAGAACCCACCGCGGCTTGATGTAGTCTGCAAACTTGCAGTACTCCCAGTCGGCGCTGGTCCGCCACGGCGCGTCGGGCCCCTGCGAATCATCGAGGTCGAAGGCGACGACGGAGCTGCCACCTTCTGTCGAACCGTAGATGATACTCAGCTTCACGCCCGCGGCGGCAAGCTTGTTTCCTGACGCTGGCGAAAGCGGACCGCCACCGTAGGCCTAGCGATCGGCTTATTAGAGCACTTTCGCAGGTGACGGTCGCGACTTACTACGATGTCCAGGGTGGCGAGGTACCTGATGCTCTCCGGGTTTCGACTACAAATCTGCGTCACGTTAGGGCTACGTCAAGAAAAGAGGTGAGGGGTAGACGGTTACCTCGAGCACTGAAGGCACGACTACCAGCCCATTGGACCGCGTGATGCGACTAGCCTCGAGAGTATTTTCGGGATTAGGTACGAGCGGGGGATTGGGTGCCTGCGGGGCAAAGAGCGCAACGGCATCGGCCTGGACGAGCGGCATAGCCAGAATAAACATGATTCCCATCGCGTGGAAGGGCGGGAGCATCATCGGCGCCCAGCGGATCATGCGTTTTCGACCTTCGACGCTATGGTCTACAAATACACTGAGTAACCTTTCTCGAACCCGACCCAAGAAATACGCACCGGATGTCACCCAGTGCCTCATAAACCCCTGTGTTTGCGGGACAGGCTTTGGTAGGCCCGTTGAGCCAGAAGAGTGTATGATATACACGACATCGTCCTTCTTCCAAGGCATCGGTGCTGGCGGGTAGTGCTCCGGGTCTTTCGCTGCACCATTCTGCTGGACAAGGGACAGTGATGGAAAGAGTGCGTGCAGCGGGATGAGATCCTCGATGAAAACGTCAAAGCTCTTGGTGTCTAGTAGCTTCTTGACACTGTGTGCGAGCGAAATGGTCGAGTCCTGCACCAACAGTCGGTGACCACTCGTCTTCTCGAGCAAGTGTGCGACGGCCTCAGGGGAGTTGCGGTGCGAAATCAAGAAAGGCTGAAGGGAAGAGGGTCAGACAGCTATGATAAAGATGGCACGAGGCACGCACGATGAGACCAGCTCGTATAAGCCCAGATTCGATAGCCACGTAGTGTATTGTATCACAGTTGATCAATACCCCGATGACTTGCCCTTCCGGTCCATGTCTGTATGGCCTATACGCATGTGCAACTCTATGCGTCGCTTTGGCATAGTCTGCGTAAGTCAGACTGCCGATGCCGTCTGGCGACGAAGACGAAGGGAACACGACCCATGGGCGGTCTGGATTGTGCTCTGCGTGGAAGTCGATGAAGCCAGGTACGACAGAGATCGAGCCGTCCAAGGGGGGCCAAAGTGGGCTGGACATGGTGTGAAGAGTATGCTTAGAGCACAAGATACGCTGTTACAAAGCTGTCCATCTTAAATGTCGAGGTGGTCCGCTCGCGGGAAGTGTATTGTAGATAGAATCGGCATACCGAGATGCAGAGCGGGCGCCGTAGCCAGTAGGTTTGGTCTGGAAACGCAGATGTGCGGCAAAGCCAAGACGATACGACGCAGTGACGAATGTGGGTCGCTGCTTTTCCGACCCAACGGGCACGGAGACATGTAGGCAATCGCAGACGGCTCGGCGACTCTAGATCTACAGTCTAGGGTCGAGCAAAACAGTCGCGACACTGTACGTGATGCATCATGCGCGAAATGTTTCTGCAGTTGTGCTCGATGCCGGTCATTCGGCTGGCGCCGGACTAATAACAGTCGTTTGCATATGAAACTGCGGTCCGTGATTTTGCAAGTTCCAGCATTTGTTCCGGACAAATTCGCCTTATCTGGTGCTGTAATAGTCACGGAAAGTCACGAAAGGATCACGAACCAACAGTGTTGTCGCACTGGCCTTCGTGTGGCTAAGCCTTCTCCGCGATGGCCTACTGCAAGCTGTCGACAGCCCCGCCTACATTTTTGGTGTTCGTAGCGCGGAATCTCCGAAGGCGTAGTCTCGTTTCCATCCGCTCTTAACTCCGACGTGTAAACACTGTCGGCCAGTGCATCGGACTTTGAAAGCAAAGTGCACTGGCTCGTTAGAGCGTCTGGTCCACTTGGATCATCCGGGGGGTCTCGTCCGCACGTGACTGACGCGCACACATACCGCGCCCGTAGCCTGCCGTTGGCGGCTATTTGGGCTGCAGTGGTACTCCGTTGCAGGGGGCTTATAA